CCCCTCCCCTCATCCATCTTGACTCCTGACGACTGCTTGGACAAGTCCCTGCAGTTTTCTTGCCACCATTTTTGGAAGGGGTTTCCTGTTGCCTCCTTCTTCCGAGTGCTGAGAGAGAGGGACTGGCCCAAAGTTACCCAGTTGGCTTTTGTTTCTAAGGTGGCACTAGAACGCGCCTTCTCCCAGTTTCTAGCCCGGTGCCTTTAACCACTCCACCAAGCTGGCTCTCACAGGCTGCTTTGCTGTGCCCAAAATCTTAACCAGCCATGCCCTCCCTCCCTCCCCCCTCCAGATCTGTGGCGGAGACAAGCCCTATGTCGCACCTGAGTTGCTGGAGCAGAAGCATCGGGAGCAGAGCACCCTGGCTTTGGAGCACTTCCGGCGCATCAAGAAGATGGGAGGCCGGGAGTTCAGCCAACGCTACGAGGACGAGCTGGCGCAGGAGCTGAATGATCTCTTCGAAGACCTCGCCAAGCACAACCAGAGCAAGAACATCTTCAACACGTTCCGGACCCCCGCTGTCCTCTTCAGCCTCATTGTGATGCTCTATCTGAGCTCGGGGATCACTGACTACATCGGACTGAGCATTGCCGCCCAGTTCTGCAACTTCATAGTGGGGCTGTTGCTTCTGTCCCTCCTAGCGTGGGGCTACATCCGATATTCGGGCGAATACCGCGAACTGGGGATGGTCATTGACACTACAGCGGAGTTCGTGCTGCAGAAGATAAGATCGGGCCACGGGGTATGTATCTGGCAATGGGGTGGCTTAGCCATGCGGGTGGGGGGACACATTATGATCCTCTTCACTGGATAATCTCGTGTTAGCACATGGTTCAGGATGCCAAAATGCAGTTGGCAGGAGTTGGACCCCTTAAACCTTTAAGGGCCCCCCCAGTACCCTGAAATCCCCAAATGCAAAATGCTAGAAATTAAGAAACATGGTGCCTCTAATGACAGGTGCTGCCCTGGAATCAATCAATCAATCAATCAGTCAATCAATCAATACTTTATTACGGTCATGGACCAGGATTTGCCCTGGAATCTGTGATCGTGGATGGAACCAAACACAAGAATCCTTCTGCGCAAAGAAATCCTTTCTGGGTTTTCCTCCAACTTTTTTTCTGGCAACCTAATTTACGGGGCGGGGGGGGGAACCCACCATAATTTACAGTTTGACAATCGGGAGTCAGCAACTCCTTTAAAGAAGTTGTATCTTTTCCTGCATTTGGGAATGTGTCTGAATTAAGAAGGTGTTGATGGAAGGGGAAGGAGAGAAATGGTAAAGAAATGGGGTTCTGCTGGAAGACTTGAGTGTGGTTTAAGCTGTTAGGTCTCAGAGCAGTGTTTCTCAACCGTGGCAACTTTAAGAAGGGGGGGGTTTAACACCCCAAATTTTCCCTCCCACACTTATGGCTGGTGGGGTTTTGGGTGTTTGTGTGAT